TGCACATTAATATTTTACTTCTTAAAACCTGAAGAAATTACTGTTTAGATCGTTTATTTCCAGTGATGTGTATTTTCAGTGATTCACTGCAGTCAAGAGCTGACAAATGGTATGAAGTTCAAAGCATACATATACATTAGTTGGTTTTTAACATAGGTGCATTCACCTACCTGTTAGATGTTTATAACTGCATGAGTGCTTTATATGAAAAGATAATGGCTTGCTATCATCAAAGAAATACCAAGCTAATCACTTTCTTTGCACAGTCCTGGACTGATTAGCCAGTATGGAAGTATAAACAATATTATGTTTGATCACTTGTGTATTTATTTTAAAGGACTGCAGGAAATCCTTTATTTTAAATAGTGAAATAGACATAGCAGTTGGGATTTTGCAATCTACTGATTAGAAATACTGGTATTCTAATCTCTTTTCTAAATGAGCATACCTTTTTCTTGGAGATTAAGACGATATCCAGCTAAAAAGACTGTATACCAAACATGAAGGATTATATTATCTATAATCTACATGTACTATCAGTGCTTTTTGACACCACTCTAAATCCTTTCTTCAAGATGGACAGATATTCTCTGTATCTGTTTAAATGGAGATTATGGGCCTGATCCTGAGAGGTGCTGAGAGCTTTCAATTTTCAGTTATTTCAGTAGCTATTGAGGACACTCAGCAGGCAACCGGACCTAATCCTGTGGCAAAAAGCAGTAATTGATCACTAGTTTAAAACAGAATTAGACACATGGAGATGAATTCAACAGTGCCATAATTTAGGCAAGCATTGTACTTTAGGCAAGTGGTTTTTGTTCCCTGCTTTCTTTGACCATTGTAGCAATACTGTAACTGCAAAGTAAACAAGGTGTATATCGGGAGACAATTTTTTAGAAAGGAAAGTTGACCATTAGCAAATGTAATGCTGTGAAAAGCTCCCCCCCAAAAAATCACTGAAAGCTGAAGTCCCTTAGCCATCTACAGAATGGGTATAGTACAGACATATCTATTTAAACTTCACTGTTAATATGCTTCAGACTTAAACCTAGGTGATCACAAGTATGGTGAGGCATTGGCTCAGTCTTCAATGTCTGATCCATCCTTAGCCTTTCTACAGGGAGTATCATTAAATGTGCCAATTAGTGTCAAATGCAATAATGACTTTTTACTGAGAGGTGAGGCTTTTTTGTGATATCTTTTATTGGACTAAAGTAACTGTACAGTTGGAAGAGCTCTTGGAAAAGCTTTCAGGCATCAAGTGCCCTTCCTCAGGTCACTAAGGACATCTATTCATTAGGAATTGGAGTAAACCTTCATTTCATTTCATGGAGACTGCATTGATCACCAACTGGTATGGAATTGCAACTGCTGTCAGTCTACTTTAGATCTGAATCACAATTTACAGGTGGATTCTAAACTTTTTCATTTTTATTTTCCTTTTTCTTTACCATCGCTGTGTCCTGATCTAAGTATTTTGGTATAGAAAATCTAGATGAGGAGAAAATATTGCAAAATATGGTGTATTAAGTGCTACTGTGTATTTTTCCCTGTTAATTTTTCATTTAAATCTGAAATAGGTACAAACAACATATTGATTTTTCTTTATTTTTTTAACAAGGCCAAATCAGTTCCATATTCAATTGGGCAAAGCCTAACAGTCAAGTTCCAAAATTTCACTGAGCAAAACTGAATCGTCAAGGCTGTGTGGCTCTGTCACTGGGCAACAGCATTCCCTCTAAGCTGCGCGGTGTGCGCAGCTGCACAGGTATGCCTAGCAGTGCGGCATGAGCACGGCTGCACACACTGCATAGCTTAGAGGGAACGCTGCTGGACAAGCATTCTCCTTCCCAGACCCATTGGTCTCAGGCTTCGGATACTCCCCAAATTCAGGCAGGCATCCTACATACAAGCCACAGGCCTGAGGGCCTTGAGGTTCAGGTGCCCGCAGCCTTGCTTGATCTTAGCCAGAAGGCTGAATTGCTTCCACTAGAAAAACTGTGCCTCTTCCAAGACTTCTTTTTCAGCTGATCAGGCTTTTAAATAACTGTGAAAAGAAGGTAGCAAGATTGTACAAATCTGGGGCAGGCATTGCTCTCTCAGGCTACAAGCAAAGACTGGTTTATCTAAGGTCTGATTGTCCCAGGCTTGACTCATGTGGGGCAGTCTTTTGTCATGCATCTCAAATGGCAGTTAACTGGAATTAGCTCCAGTTGTCCCAGAAAAAGTGTTATCTCACTACATCACAACACTGGTGCAAAAGTTGGAGAGGCCAACTTGGAGGGGTCATGGTCTTCTTGACCTGCTGGTCACAAACAGAGAAGAATTGGCGGGGAATGTAGAAGTAGATGACAACTTGGATAGCAGCGACCATGAGATGATTTGAGTTCAGGATCCTCAGGAAAAGAAGAAAGGAGAGCAGGGGAGTAAGGACCCTGGGCTTCAGAAAAGCAGATTTCAGACTCACTCAGGGAACTAATGGGCAGGATCCCTGGGAGGCCAATCTGAGGGGAAAAGACAACCAGCTCTCCTGGACTCATGTTAAAAAAAAAACCCCCAACTGAGGGTGTAGGAACAAGCCATCCCAGTGCACAGGAAGACTAGCAAGTGTAGCAGAAGACCAGTTTGGCTTAGCAGGGAATTCTTCAGTTGCCTAAAACATGAAAAGTAAGCTTACAAGAAGTGGAAACTTGGACAAATGACTAGGGAGGAGTATAAGTGTATTGCTTGGGCATGAAGGGATGAAATCAGGAAGACCAAAGTGCAATTGGGAGTTGCAGGTAGCAAGGGATGTGAAGGTTAACAAGGAGAGTTTCTACAAGTATGTCAGGAACAAGAGGAAGGTCAGGGAAAGTGTATATCCCTTACTGTAGCTTAGTGACAGATGATGTGGAAAAGACTGAAGTACTTAATGCCTTTTTCACATCAGTCTTCACAGGCAAGGCCAGCTCGCAGATTATTGCACCTGGCAGCACAGTTTGGGGAGGAGTTGAGCAGCTGTGGTGAAAGAACAGATTGGGGACTATTTAGAAAAACTAGATGTATGTAAATCCATGGAGCTGGATGCAATGCACCCAAGGGTGCTGAGGAAGTTGGTCAGTGTGACTGAAGAGTCACTGGCCATTATCTTTGAAAACTCATAGTGATTGGGAGAGGTTTCAGATGTTTGAAAAAGGGCAAATATAGTGCCCATCTTTAAGGATGAAAAGGAGGAAGTCAGTCTCCCTCACCTCAGTCCCTGGAAAAATCATGGAGCAGGTCTTCAAGAAATCAATTTCTAAGTACTTGGAGGAGAAAGTGGTAATTAAGAACAGTCAGCAGGGATTCACCAAGGGCAAGACATGCCCTGACCAACCTGATTGCCTTCTATGATGAAACGACTGGCTCTGTGGAGGCATGGAGAGCAGTGGACGTGATATACCTTGACTTCAGCAAGGCTTTTGATACATCTCCCACACCATTCTTGCAAGCAAGCTAAGGAAGTCTGGAGTGGATGAATGGACTGTAAAGTGGATAGAAAACTGGATGAATTATTAAGCTCAGAAGGTACTAATCAATGGCTCAGCATCTAGTTGGCATCTGGTATCAAGTGGAATGCACCAGGGGTTGGGCCTGGGGCTGGTTCTGTTCAATATCTTCAACAATAACCTGGAATATGGAATGCAGTGCACCCTCAGCAAGTTTACAGATGACACCTAGCTGGGGGGGGAGGGGCAGGGGAGTAGTGGATATGCTGGAGAGTGTGGCAAGGATTCAGAAAGACCTTGACAAATTGGAGATTGGAGGACTGAACCAAAGGAAATCTCATGAGGTTCAATCAAGGTAAGTGCGAAGTCCTGCACTTAGGAGAGAACAATCCCATGTACTGGTACAGGCTGGAGACTGAATGGCTAAATAACAGCTGTGCAGAAAAGGCCCTGGGAGTTGCAGTGGACAATAAGCTAAATATGAGCCAACAGCTGTGCCATTGTTGCAAAAAAAAAAAAAAAAAAAAAAAAAAACAACCCAAAAAACTAATGGCAGCCTTCAACTACCTGAAAGGGGGTTCCAAAGAGGATAGAACTAGACTGTTCTCAGTGGTGGCAGATGACAGAGCATGAAGCAATGGTCCCAAGTTGCAGCAAGGGAAGTTTAGGTTAGATATTAGGAAAAACTTTCTCATTACGAGGGTAGTAAAGCACTGTAACTTTACCCAGAGAGGTTGTGGAATCTCCATTCTTAGAGGTTTTTAAGATCCAGCTGAACAAAGCCTTAGCTGGGATGATCTAGTTGGAGATGGTCCTGCTTTGAGCAGGGGGTTGGACTAGATGACCTCCTGAGGTTCCTTCCAGTCCTAATTTTCTATGATTCTGTGATGCTTCAGGTGGGACAGTGGGCTTGTATTAATCTTAGGATAAAAGTTGTTTTTTGCGGGGAGGAGGGGTAGAATTGATTACTTATTTTTAGCCTCAGGTAGAAGGATAGGAGTCACCAGCACAAGAGTTAATAAGGTGATATGAGGTCTCCATATGGATGGCCCTAGGCCCGTAGGGACACTAAGGCCTTCACAGAGCATGGAGGTGTCTTCTGCATTCTGTTTGCCAAGGAGCTATCTCCATCGCCTGAGAAAATGATTGGTGGCTATTTGTGAGAGGAACCTCACAATGATTTTGTGTTTTGAACTCCATCACACTGTTTTTTTTCTGATCAAGTTTTAGGTATGCTACGCCACTCATCTTCAAAAATACCAGGGGCTAACTTTTTTAGGCAGATGTACCACAAATTAGTTCCACACCCTCCCAGTCCCCTTCTCCTGCCAGATTTGTTCCTGTTTTCTGCTTTCTGCCCTTTGCTCCCTGCCCACTCTGCTGCTTTTTTCTGCTTCCTGCCCTATCTACTGTTGTGTTGCCCCCTCCCTGATTTGTTGTGTGCCACACACACAACCCCTCATGACACTTGTGTGCAGCAGGTTGGCCACCCCTGTTTAAAATGTAGGCCCTAATTCTGCTTGCCTTACTCACGTGAATAATTCTTTAAGCAAGAAGTCCATGGGCTCCAAGCGGATTACCTGAGGAGGGAAAGCAAACAGGATTTGGCTTCAGATTTCCCAGTAACTGAGTGTGATTAATAATAAGAAAATTCAAGAGAAATCATATTGCAAGTATCACAAAAACCAAAAATCAAAATAAAATCTGTAAACAAGAGTTTTCACTCTAAGATGTGTTATAGAAATTTAGGATGTTCTTTTGGGAGGATTTTAAAGGTTCTATTAGTTGCACTTAAAGCCTGCAAAGAGAAATTGTTTAATACATTAAACTATATGTTATTGGGACTAGAGGATAACACATCCTTTTTTTAAAATACAAATGATCAAGAACAGCTTTTCCATCCTATTAAGTTCTTTTTTAAACTGGATCCTTTCTTATGATTTTCTAAAAATGTAATTACATATTTCTGGCTGGCATTTCTAAAGACTGTCTTTATAATTCTGATACATTAAATAAATTGAACTGAATCAGCACAAACATTTTGATGAAGGCCTGAGGGGCAGGTCAGATAGATCTGAGCCAAATGGATCTAACTGTGCCTCTTAGAATACAGATTCAATTCTGTTCCCGCTGAAAAGAATTGGAGTTTGACTATTGATTTCCCTTGAATCAGATCATTAGTCATTAGTTTCTTTATATATATACGTGTGTGTGTGTGTTTTATGTATGTATATATGGAGAGGCTAGGCTGGAGAGAAGGCTGTACTCAATAAAACGCCCACTGGCTTCTCATTAACTGTAGCAAACAAATTCTAGTTTTGTTACCTTCTTTGAAAAATATCAATAATAGCCCAATACTTGTGTACTTTGAGAGTGCATCGGGAATACATGATTTAGCCCAAGTATTGAGATAGTTTGTAATCAGGAATTTTGTCTCAGTAACAGTGAAATTATTTATTCTGTAAGATTTTCAATATTTTGGCTGTATAAGTAGTGAAAGCTCTGGAAGGATCAATTTTTCCTCAAAAACCTTGCCCTCTCTTTAATTTTACACTAAAACATAAATGCTACAGTAAAATGTGTCATTTTTCATTAATAACTTCTGAATATTCTCCACTTTTGAAAACTACCTTTAGGTAATGGCTTATAAAATAAATGAAATTCCACTTTAAGATGAAAAAAATAAAAACAAGGCTGCATTCTTCAACATTTTTATAAATACCGATAATCCTTTCTTATGCAGGCACTCTGATTAACATAAGGCCAGTAACTTCATGTGAGTAATGACTCCAAAATAAGAAACATTTTAAAGGTAACCTCCTTTCTCTTTTTGTTTATAAGTGTTTTGACAATTTCCTGGCAAAAGCACATTTATTTAAAAAGGACTAATCATGAACTTTGTTGAAGTTGGTAAGATCTTTGCTTATAGATATGGGGGAAAAACCCCCAGCACTTTACTTTCAACTCAGCATGCCTCTGCACCCAGTGCAGTGCATGCTCAGAAAAGGATTCGCATCAGTTTGACCCGGCTCCCCAGCATCTGTATAACTCTCGCTTTTCAGTGGGGCTTTTGGCACTTTTATCTAATAGTTGATTGAATCAACTGATTGAATCAGCTATTAGATAAAAGTGTCAAAAAGCCCCACTGAAGTGTGTGAGCTATACAGATGCTGGGGAGCCGGGTCAAATTGATTCCTCTTCCGGTAAAGTGCTGTTTGTTTTTTCCACGTCTGTCAGCGCCCTTTGGGCTTAAGCCTTTCCTGAAGAAATTTATTTTCTTCTTTTCTTTTACATTCTCTGTAAACTTACCTCTTCTTAGGATCTGTCCTACCCGTCTAAAAACAATCTGCTCCCTTTCCCTTGATTTCCGTCAGAGTAGCATCAGGCCTTTAGTGAGGTATTATGATCTTGTTCTTAATTGCAGGAACTTGTGATATATTCCATTTTTAGCACTGTCAGATATGTAATATTTAAAACTATTACAAATCCTTCTAATAAATACTTGAAAGAAAAATGGTTTTTGAATTATACCCCTGAAGTATTCAAACCAGGTTTCTTTCTTGTGTTTGAAATCCTGTGCTCAGCTTAAGCTTTTAAGACAATCCATGTTTCTAAGGCTGTTCTGTATTTTTTAAGCACTTGTTCTACAAGTTCCTGATTCTGAGAGAGAATTAAGACCAGGACTGGTCCTTAAAACTGTATTTGGAAGTGCCAGATACTTTGTTCCAGATAATTAATATATGCAATTTGTATATCAGTGGGGACCAACCTTTTTGGCAAGTATGCCACAAATTACCCCTGCAGAGCGCAATCCCCTTCCCATGACAGATCTGCTGCTCTGCTTTCTTCTTCCTGTCTTATCTGCTGCTGTCCTGCCTGTCTCCTCCCTGATCTCCTGTGTCACACAGAGGGGCTGCCTGTGCCACTCCTGGCACACGTCACAGGCTGGCCACCTCTGTTGTACATAATACATGTTTACATGCCCCTGACTAATACTATATACACTCTGGAGTTATTTCTTTCACTGCTGTTTCTTTGTTTTACATACTCCAATAGCTCTTCTACTGATGTCATAATTCATGAGTTCAGAGAAGCTGAGCAATTTGGTTTTTTGTTTTTCTTAAGTACTTTCCTTCAGCATATTTCAACTCTCCTTTTAAAGAATTCATTGCAAAAGCAATTTCACGTGAAAACCACTGGCAGAAGAAATGTCTTACCCAGTGGCTGACCTTTCATGGCATTTATCTTCACTCATGTGGGGTGCTGGAGTATCTTGACTTTTCCTCCTTTCTCCACTCATGGAGATAAAAGTCATGAAATTATACATGGTACAGATACCGAAATACCCACTCCCTCCCTTAAGACGGGTTGTAGAATGATACAGCCAATGCTTTATAATGTTCATGCATTTGGGATTTTTGATTATTGGAAAGTGGTTGATGATATAATTGGCTAGTGATTGAGCCACATCAAATTAAAGTCAAAAGACATTTTGCCACTGACTTCAGTGGGGCCAAGGTCTTTAGTGAAGAGAATTTTTGTAACATGTTTTGAAGAGCATTTCTCTAGTCCATGTAGTCAGAGTCTGGGAAATGAAAGATTGTACACAACTGCTAGAGGACACTAAAAGAATGGATCCAATACCACATTTCTTGTTCTCAGAATTATCATTGCCATCCATCAGAGTTCTGCAAGCACTATCAAGCCCAAAGCTACATTACTATTTGTGCGTATCCCGTGAGTGACATCATGCTTTTGGGACTCTGAACCATCTACAATGCACATGCACATGTTATGACGGTTTATAAAATGATAACACACCAATACTGAAGCAGTAAAGGTTGGGTTAAAACCAAAATCTGTGATAAGAACAAAGTCAAGTATTTTCCTCTACATGTGCAATTAGTATGTTATCGAAACACTTGTGATGTCTCGGACTTTCTTTTCTCATCTGTACATTTCATCTTATTCCACTCTTTTTCTTCAAAATGCATTTGGTCGTGACCCGATTTCTGTCTTCACTAAAGGATCAACTGGAAAGAGGAAACCTAGCTGAAAAAATGAATTCAAACTCAGAAAACACTCTCTGTTCATGACAAACAGATTTCATTAGCTTAATTTTGTTGACAGTATCAGAAAGCTAAGTCACCTTCTGGCAGTCATCCACTGCCAAGAAATGCCCTCGCCATTGGCATTATTGCTTAATTATAAACTTTAAAGCTAAAAGAAACAAGCAGATAAATAATTACCTTTTATGAGGTAAGGGTGGAACTGCAACTTATTAGCCATATGGTGTTCTTTCTGCATTACTGATCTTTTCCTTGCAGGTGAGGACCTGTACAGTAATCACCTGGACTGTGGTCTGACTGTTGGGTAAGGTTTACAATGCATGAAATAGGCATCTTGGATTGTAAAATCCTCCAGGCAAGGCCCATGTCTTTCTAGGTGTTTGTACAACAGCACTTAATATAATGGGAGCCCTAGTCCCAAACTGCCCCAGTGGAGGCTGGCAGAATGTGAACTCTGAATGGTAACAGCAGTTGGTGGAAGCGGGAAGGGGGCTGGTGGCATTCGCTTCTGTGGGGTTGACCGTTCAGGGGGCTGCTTCTCTATCCCCCTTCTGAACTGCACAGTCATCCCAGGCTCCTGCCTACAGCTGAGAGTCTTGCAGGATTGGCAAAAATGCCACAGCGGGTTAGGAGCGTTCCTCTCTCACTCTGTCCCCAGGCCTGAAGGAGAACCTGTGCTCTGCTCATACAGGAAATCTTAGCTTGTGCCTTTTGGGGCTTCAGTCTGCGAGGAGCAGGGTTGGGGGGACAGGCACACACTGAGTTCCTAGTGAGCTGAGGGGCAGAGAAGGCGCGTTGTTGGTGTAGCTGCAGGCCTGTGCCCCTCCAGTCCCCTGGAGAGAGACAGTGGAGAGGGAAAGGCCAGGAGGAGGTGGGGGGCTGCTCTGGGAGCTTCTGGGCCCTCCTCAGCGCCCGCTGCACGGAGCTGAAGCCGCGGGGCAGGGGGAGCCGCTGGCTCAGCTGCAGCTGCGGGCGACTCTGCCCCCTGCCCGCTCGGGCTCGGCGGCCGTGGCCAGGCTGGACACGGGCAGCACGAGGTCCTTG